TGCTTGGTTGCCGAGTTGAAATACCCGGACAGACGAACACACACACACATACATACATACACACACGCACAGACAGGGACCTCCCAATATGCGTTTTTGCAATTTGCGTATAGGCAAAAACACATAATGAGAAGCAACGACCATTCAAACAATTAACAATCTGACTGCTTTAAGAATGGTGCAAAAACGCATAATTACATCAACAACACTGACGCGCGTCGCCACTAGATTTTCAGTCAGCGCGAGGCAATGTTTCAAAGTTGGGATTTATATTCTGCCGGCTGGGCTGACGTTTCACTGCCACAAAAAAGGACAACTGTGCATTTGTTGTCATACAATTTGGTTTACAATACCATCCCATAGGGTGCTTTTTGGTCGTAAATCTAATGTTGAGGGGGCTGCTGACAGACGGAGTGGTCGTTTTTTCGGACGGGCGAACGGTAACATGGGTGTTTAGCGCAGAGTGTAGCCTCTTGCATTTTGCGCAAAGTACCTAGCTGCCCAGTGTGCCTACCGTAGCCGCACTGCATCGTATCCGTTCAGTCGATTGGGCTCTTGCTTCCTCGCCTTCCTCCTTTTAACTATCCTTCCAATTTCACCCTTTTCCTCCCATCCCTCGTCTCACAGCGTTCTCTCTGCGGATTCATACCGATACATTTGCGCCGACACCGCAAGCCCTTCGAAGATGGAACGGGGTGTTAATCTCTGGCGCGATTCACGTACAAGTAAATCAACAAGCAACTAAAAGAGTCACTTATAAGAATGTGGTCTGCGAAGCAGTGGCGCAGTGGTCAGCAGGTGGGGGTATCAACGCGGAAGCAGTGCCCGTGAGTTCGAATGCCTGCTGGAGTCTCTTTACGATTAGTTTTGTTGGCAGATTAGTGCTCGTGCTTAAAGCGTTTTGAGAGTGAGAAACCTCTAATTCGCTGATTTCCGAAATGAGCGCAATGAAAAACAATATATTTGTACTGGAACTTGTCGTCCTGGTTATTCTGGCCATCTCGAAATTTCTCGGAGCTCGCAACGCGAAACGGATGGTTGCCGCATATTTTGAACGGCTCGAAGGCCTCCAGAAATTCGTCAAAACTGAAAGAAAAAAGTTGTAATTCACGATGAACGGGAGATTTCACGTGAAGAACGTGATGCATTCAGCAGCAATCCACTGTGCACGGAAGCGATAAACGCCCGAACAGAGGGGCTGCAAACATGTCGTCCATCTTTTCTGCATTTGTATAAGTATGTAGAAACGTATAAATACCGACATGCAGGAGCGCTGGTGCCATGTTTTGACATCTCCGCGCACTTGTAACTTGGTAGCACGCTGTCCTCCAGCAAACACACATCGCAGCCTCTCCCCGAGTCCATTTTCACCTACCGTGTTTTTGCTAATTGCCTTTTTTTCGGTGGAGAGTGGAGCTAACGGTCAATACAGTAGGCGTGGTATGATCTTTCAAACGCTTGCGAAACCAACTCTGGTCATTTTTATGTGTACCAATCATTTTTTTGCCAGCACAATCTTCGCTTGCCTTCCTCTAAAGAATTGTTATTCTAAGGCCATGCTCGGGATGGTTGCTGAGCTGGAAACAACTCGATACCGAGCGAAGTTACAAAAAGCAAGCAAAACTCGTTCAGGTAAGACGATGCATAAACACCTGTGAGGTACCAAAAGAGGGGAGAGGAGAAATTCACGTCCATCATGAAACAGAATCCCAGTAAAGTTGGCTGCGCATTTTGTTTTTACCTTGAAAATTCGGCTTTATTAGCAATTTTTTTAGCATGTTCAAAAAGCGCCGGTCGCTCATCATCGGTAAAATCAGATAACGTCCGTAAGCCGTAGCGTTCGGTTCCAATTCGAGCACGCACTGGTCTATTCTCCTTGTCATCACGTCCTGAGCGATCTGAAAAATTTCATTGCAAAGGCGGGTCTAAAACGCAGAAAACTGTCTTCCCCTAGTTTGTGCGGGAATTCCAAAATTCTAAGGATTAGCTACATGAGGGAAGCTGTCTATATTCCCGCAATCCTTTTATTCATTATGAAACAAAGAAAGTAACCACTGACTATTAGAGCACCGCACTGAATCGGATAGATCTGCGGTATCGTCAATCAATGAAGGTGTGCTGGGGATTGAACTCGCAGCGCCGTCATCTTTCACGGCTTCCATACTGTTCTCCTCTGGAAGAAAAATGAAAAATTATTCGTTCTACTACATTCCTAGAAAGAGGCATTTACACTGCAATCCCATCTGTTCAGCAATCAATTGCGATGAGAAAAGCAGGCGCTCCGAGCCAGGAAACTCGCAGTCAACAGGGCAAAATCGCTTCGAATTTACAGTGCCAAACTACTGATATTTCAGATGTGGAAAGAGTGTTTTCGTACCTGCTGCTTCAACGGCCTCATTAGTACGTCCCTCACAATCCGCAGATCTTGCCGCCCGCTCTGCTCGAATTTCCTCGATCACAGAATTGATTGCCATTTGTGCGGCTTCGTAGCTGGTGGACCTTTCCAAAACTTCCTACAAATGAAAAAAATGTGGTTTGATAGACAAAGTGTTCGGGTTCTTGAAGGACTGACCGTTGAATTATGATGCGGCTTGTGAGACACCGTTTCCATTGTTATTCATCCACCCCGAACTGGTTCAAACAGAGGCAGATTTGAGTTAGAGACAAAT